CCAGCTACTTCAAGTTAGATTATTAGATGTCATTCGATGAGTAGAAAAGATGGTTAACTTTCTGTGTTGAGTAATATTTCTCATCATCAAAACATTGATGTACGCTGAAGTTTGATGTTAAAAATAAAATATTTTCATATACAAATTATGCAAAACTAATTTAATTGATATTTTGTTATTTCCTATTTGTCTTGATTCATTTATCTATCCATACTGTTTACATATATGCCGCATATTCTATATAATGCAAGTCCACATGAAAAAAATGCAATGTAAACAAGGAGAAAAGCTGGACTCTTTTCCTCGAAATCCACATTATTGTAAAAATATATATTGATAATTCAAATATTTCATCATACTAAGTACATTACTCATCAGCTAAAATTATAAGAGAGATCATGTATTTTAACTGCTACATTAGGAAAATGATGATTTTTTCGCGTTTGGAGATAGACAGAGATGAAGAAATCGATTAGTCATAACAGAGTTAGCATAGTCATAACAGAGTCAGCATTCATGTTTTTAATCCTTAGAAAAAGGTAGTATTGTTATTAAATTATTCTGTTTCAAAAGGTAACGATATGTGATGATATTACCAATAAGACATTCAAAAGAAAATCAAGATACTCGGAGGCCAAGCTCTCATGGCTCGAAAGGCTAAGCACGAGGGACCGAGCCCAAGAACCAGAAGCATAAAACAGTTGTGTTTATCCGACAAACCAATTGAAAGAAAAGCTCTCCAAGGCCAAAGTTTTAGCGAGGATATTACTAATATGTCAATAATTTATATGTTTAATTAAAGGTCTATGAATGAGACAGACCTAAATTTGTTATTTTATGAAGGTTAACCCCTTTCAATAGGATGTATTAAATGTTAATCAGGATTCCGATTTTTTGTTCATTAGAGCTAATTATAGAAAACCCAATATGATCTCCCTCATCCTATTCCCTATCCTTCCCTATACTCTATTCCTCGTGTGATTGAAATCAGGATTTAAAATGGCAAAAGAGATTTATAATGATAAGTATGTGGTGGAAGAGATTTGTACTTGTATAAAGGTTGTGCGAGTGTTGAAGATTTAGAATATTATAGAGGTGGAGGTATAGAAGAGTTAAGTGTGGTAAGCTTGGATCTTAAGGGTTATGAGAACTATGAGAGTTGAAACAAGATAAAACATTGTGGCCTTCTAATATTCTTTTGCTTCTCCATTCTTCTTCTCTTCTTCCGGTAAAGCCCAACACCTTTATATATCAACTAAATTATAAATAATTGATGTTCTATGCTAGCCAAATCATATATATGAGCTGTTAGAATTATTATGTCACCTTATAAATATTTGTTAGGCATGACTCATATATCGGAAGTTGGAGTTTCTTGAAGTGAAGAGGTGTGTTTCTTGAAGTGAAGCGGTGTGTCTCTTGGTGAAGTTGTGTCTCTTCATATTTTGTGGGTTGGGGGAGCGAGGGCGTGTTGGTAATTTATCTATGGGTTTTTTATATGTCTATATATATGTGTAACTCATGGGTATGTAATTGAACTCCCCCTCTGAAATAGTGAAACTTGCCGCTCGCTCCCGATGATGTAGGCATCTTTGCCGAACCTCGTAAATCCCTGTGTTCTTCTTCTAGATTTGTTTCGATTCCTGTGTTTTTCTTCGCCCTAATTTCACAACAATTGGTATCAGAGCGAGGTTTTGTTCTAGAGCGGAGGAGATCGATGCAGGAAGAAGGAAGACGAAGAAGAACAGGAATTCAGAGGAAAAGAAGAATTTGTGGTTCCGATTGCGGAGAGCGAACGAAGGCGCAGACGTTGGAAGGCTCGCAGCAATTACTTATTTGGGGCGCTGCGGTAGAGGATTCAAAGGCAGCGGCGTGATATTCGTGGCAAGAGTTCCAGTTCCGTGGCCAACGGGAGGGAATCAAAGGAATTTTCTGATTTCTTGTTGGCAGACGTGAGAACTGTCGGAGACAGGCGTTCTCAGAGAAGATCGCGTGCAGTTCGCCAAGACGTTCGAACAGAACAGGCCTTGGATCGCGATCAGGATCCACGAGGAGGTTAGCGTGTAGTTCGCAAAGCTCTGCGAACAGAGGGCTTGGCAGAGGTGTTCGCACTGAAAGAAATGAGAGAAATCTTAGAAGAATATTCCTTCCCCTTTCTCCCCACCAGCAGGATCAGGATTCTAAGAAAACTTGCTTTTGGAAGCAGGAGGAAGAGGACTTATTTCCTAGAAGCTTTGGAAGCAGGAGGAAGAGGACTTATTATCTAGAAGCTTTGGAAGCAGGAGGAAGAGGACTTATTATCTAGAAGCTTTGGAAGCAGGAGGAAGAGGACTTCTTTGGAAGCAAATTATTTTGCCGGAATGATGCGCGAGAGCACTGCAGCGAGGAGTGGAGGCAGTTTCACAGAGGAGAGGAATTCGGTGGCGAACATGAGCAGCACACAAATTTTACGGATTGTTCGCAAGGTAAACGGGCTCGCGGGAATGAACAGGTGCGAAGCAGTTCGGTTAAATGACTGCGGCAGTTCGGCGAGTTCTGCTTCAGGGAGTTCGCGGTAGAGGCGGTGTCGAAGCTTCGAGGCGCGATAGTTCACGAACCTTCACGGTGTTCAGTGAGGTGGAGTTCATGAACTGGAGTTCGCGTGCAGTTACCGCGAACATGAGCATTTGCGAACAGAGGAGCTCGACCAGCGGAGTTCGCAGGTTTGTCGCAGGAGTTGCGGCATGTGCAGTTGCAGCGGAGTTCGCAGGTTTGTCGCAGGAGTTGCGGCATGTGCAGTTGCAGCGGAGTTCGCAGGTTTGTCGCAGGAGTTGCGACATGTGTAGTTGCAGCGGAGTTCACAAGTTTGTCGCATGAGGAGTTGCGGCATGTGCAGTTGCAGTGGAGTTCACAGTTTTGTCGCAGGAGTTGCGGCATGTGCAGTTGCAGTGGAGTTCACAGGTTTGTCGCATGAGAAGTTGCGGCATATGCAGTTGCAGTGGAGTTCGCAGGTTCGTCGCAGAATAAATTGTGACAGGTGGAGTTCGGCTGGTGTCCGCAGTATTTCAGCCAAATTTTTGTGCGAACA